TGTGAATGCAGAGCCTTGGGAGATGACGCTTGGTCTTATCATATCAATCCATACTTAAGTGATGCCTGCAAATATGGTAAGTTTCTGAGAGCATAGAGCTTCTGTGTGCGTGTGTGTGTGTTTTCTTATTTTCATTGTGCTTTCTTTTTTCTAAGCCTAACAGATTATCCTTATATCTTTGTCTAAAACTTCCTCTTTGTGGTTGGTTGTTTTGTGTTGAAGCCATTTTACAAATCAGGGGGATTAGGATAGCGATTGTAGTTGGTAAGCCATTCATCTCTTTCCATTTTTTTTCCTCCATTTCCTTATTCAGATATTACTCCAAGGGTGGTTTTTCATTCAAGTTCCAATTAGTGTTAAACAACAATATAACGTTTAGAGCGGTCAAGTTGAATATACTATTTATGTATCTTCTTCTATGACTGGCTGTTGACAAACTAGTACAGTTCAAGATACTCTAGACTCTTTTAAGTCCAGGATTTTATTTGGCGTCTATACTCTATTCAGGTTCCAGTGTAGGGGCTGGAATGCTACTTCTCCTGATCATTACTTGAATCCTGTACGGCAAACTGAAGAGGATATACAACAATAAGCGCAAAGAAAAGGTATTCAGAAAAATGTTACAGCAGCAGTTATCTACTCAGGACATTCAAAACACGAAGCTTTTCACTGGCAACGAATTGAGCAAGGCTACTGATGAATTCAATGAGAATCGAATTCTTGGCCAAGGTGGTCAAGGTACAGTTTACAAAGGGATGTTGACCGATGGAAGGATCATAGCAATCAAAAAGGGTAAAAATGTTGGTAAAAGCCGCTTTGAAGAATTCGTTAATGAGATGGTCATTCTGTCGCAAGTCAATCATAGGAATGTGGTAAAACTCCTAGGTTGTTGTTTGCAAACTGAAGTTCCCCTCCTAATTTATGAATTTGTGCCTAATGGAACCCTTCACGATCTCATTCATAATCAGAATGATGACGAGTTCCCATTCACTTGGAAATTGAGACTAAGAATAGCCACACAAATAGCAGGTGCATTGGCATACCTGCACTCAGATGTATCAGTTCCCATCTTACACGGAGATGTCAAGTCCAGCAATATACTTTTGGACGAAAAATACATAGCCAAAGTATCAGACTTTGGAACTTCGAGGTCTATTGAAGTTGATAAAACTCATTTAACTACACGTGTTAAAGGGACATTTGGATATTTGGATCCAGAATACTTTCGGACAAGCCAATACACGGACAGAAGTGATGTATACAGCTTTGGGGTTGTTCTTGTTGAGCTACTTACAAGACAAAAGCCGATATCTTCCATACAAACGGAAGAAGATCATGTTGGGGTGAGTTCGGTAGAAAGTTTTTTAAAATCCATGAATCAGAACTCCCTTGTGACAATTCTTGATCCTGAACTTGCTGATGAGAGAAATGAGGAAGAGGTTATTCTTGTTGCTGAGCTCGCGCAACGATGCCTAAACTCGAATGGGAAAGCAAGGCCAACAATGAAGGAAACGCACAGGGAGTTGGAAAGAGCTAAACTGTCCAAAGTGGATTCTACAATTCATGCAAAGTTTCAAGATCCAGGTTGTAATGGGAAAGAAGCTTTTGGGAAATCTGATGGTACATGTTACACATGGACAATAGCAAGTGATACTGTGGAGTCAATTTCAGATGCCTACCCTTCCATGTATAAAACAGTGTAATTCTACTTTGCAGTGAAGCATTTAGGTTCAGTTAGGTGACACTGGTTCCATGCATTCATGCGTTTGAGTATTATTTTTACTTTGCATGTATTGACAACTTTTGTGAGCAGTGCTTTTTATGGACAGTAATTGTGTGAGAAAATAATTACATGCTTCTCCACTTGAGGGAATCCTTATCTTTTTCCCCCCTTTTTGGAAGCAACTTGAGGGAATCTTGTTATTGTTAAATGTTAAGGGCAGATAAAACTTAATTTCCAAAATGCTTTAATACCGATGTTATTGAGCATAATGCTATTACCCTTTCATGTATAAAACAGTCTAATTCTACTTTGCAGCAATTAATGCATTCAGGTTCAGCAAATTGATACCGATTCCAAATGAAGTTAATCAAATCCGTATCATCAGGATATTTTATTCTGCTAACCCCCAGGGTTGGCTCAGCTGGTGCTAGGGGAAGTCTCTTTAGGTCCTAGCATTCGATGGTCGCGGCTCGACTCCTATTAACGTCTTGTGTCTTCTGGGGGTGGGGGCACAAGCGCAGTGAAATTAGCCGGTCCAGAATATTACTCCGTTGAATCTTGGATACCCACTGTGTCCGAAAAAAAAAAAAAGATATTCTATTCTGTTAACTGCATTCATGCATTTAATTATGGTACTCTTTTATACGTGCAACAATCGCACACTATTGAAATACCAATGCCTGGAGATTATGATGGTGAGTAGAGCAAGGGATTAAGTTTTTGAAAATTTTTCATTTAGAACCAGACAGCATCCCAAGTGCTGATATACATACACATACATACATACATATATTTCCATCTAATAAAAACTAGCTTAGCTAATACGAACATTAACTAGGTAATGGTATGACTGATCTAGTTTGTCTAAAAAGTCATCCACTTCCTCTCTATTCTTCTAAGTTTTAGAGTCTCCCTCTGTTTTATTACGCTGAATCTTTATCATAATGAAAATAATGTATGATGAAAAAACCTACAGTATAAAAAAAAAAGGAAATAAATAATGATAGACTTTGGAAAATCAGTGGCTAAGAGTGGTCTATAAGTTTCAAAGTTGGAGGATCCGTAACATTCCTATTTTCGTTTTGAGATTTAGGTATTCCCACTATCCTGCAGTCATATTTCGTATGGTTACTAGAGGTTTGTCTTGTACAAACTACTAAAGAAGAGGCGCAATAACCAGCAGAAATAGAGCCAACTTTTTAAAAATGAAATGGAGGTCTTTTATTGGAGACAGTTCCTGCTTAAGCAAATGTCATTGAAACAACTGGAACTTACTAGTTTTCCAAGGAATTAATTAATTAGAGAAAGCCACTGTCTAATTATGATTTCGGTGCAATTATGATTGATTGTGTTTCATCAAGACTCAATTTACACAAATACATAAACTGTTGTATTTCTTACAGAATTTGATATATACAAACAAAATTTATGTATAAAATAAAGTAATATATATGACATATGTAAGATAAATTATTGCGGTAGATAATCGCAGCCACCACAACCCCACCTAATTTTCGTGCGCCTCCAATCTTTACACCTTTTGCCGATGCTTTTGAATTGTGGAATCTGCTTCCTCGCTTCCTGTATCGAAAAACCACTGACCTTTTGCTTTCGGTAGAACCAAATATTAACCAAAAACTTATAGGAGATATATTTAATAAAATTAATATATATTTATGGGTTTAAATTTTAATATATACAGACGTGTTTTATAACAAAAAAATAGAATATCTGAATTGATTAAATGATATTAAATTTTTTAAACAAAACTTGTTTCCAAAATTAAGTGACAACCTATTCACTTATCACTTAATGTGATATACATTCAAATGTATCAGATTTAATACTTAACAATTCATAAGTTGATGGATTTAGACTTCATATTTCAAATTTCAGACTTCAAACTTCAGTTTTATCAAAGGCACACTATAAAATTGGCCCTCGATAAAACTACTAAATAAATAAATAAAAACTTCTAAACTTGATTTATATTTTACTAACATTGCTTCCCTTAGTTCAATCTTCCATTGACATCACCTCCAATTTCATCACGAGCAACAATTGCAATCTTGTCACTGTAGAGATGATGCACGACATTTTGTGATTGAATTTTATCCTGAAACGTGGTAGTAGACAAACTAAATAAGCCACGAAGAGAGAAGCCACGGGCAGCTAAGGTCACATTGTCCCAATTTCTTGTAGGTATGTAGATCAAAACAAATCTCGAGGGAATAATAACACTACTATTAAATATAGGCCATAAAAGAATTAAATATGAATGTGCTTTGAGGCTTTCTTAGTACTATGGAGCAGTCAATCGAGGAGAACTATGGCATTCATAACAAGGAGAATTCAGACGTATAAAGATCTGTGGGAGTCAATAATGGTTGGCTTTACAGGCTTGTGCATTATTTAGTTCATCATGCAAAAACTATCAATCCTTTTAAAATTTTTGTAGAATTTCTCTTCAAATTTTGTCAAGTAAATCGTGCTGCTGGACGATATCCAATAATTCAATTAATAAAGTTCTTTAAAAGAAGAATATAAACGTCACCTCCATTTAAGTTCCCCCCATATGAAGCCTCTACATTCGCATCTGAAATTGTAATTGGGGACAAATACGATGGTGTTTACACTGAAATCTATTTTTCAAGAAAACAATTTTAGAATTAACGGTTTAAATCAAGTCCCATTAGTCATGTTGTGGTCTCAATCCCTAATTGTTGTATCTTTATTTTTTTTTAATTGTGTACCTTAAGAACACTAGAATAAGCACACAAAATATAAGGACTTTATAAAAAATATTACTATCATCTATTCTTAAAAATATGATCATCTACCTACCTAGTCCATCTCTCGATTTCTGATCCGTGTCCGGCATGTACAGCATTATGAGAGTGGTGGCTTTGTTTATCACTTGGAATGTCTTACGAGCCACCATGCTGTCAAAAGCACTGCAATAGATAAACTAAGTTAAATTTGCTGTGCTTTTAGACTTCATAAACATTTTCAAACGGATTAGTTATAACTAGTTTTTTGAAACTGTATCGCTAATTCATCACATTGCTAGTGAGAATGCTAAAAATTAAATAATCCAAATTGGCATCCCAACTTTTTTTTTTTGGTGGGGATGGGGGGGGGGGGTGTTTGGGCATCTCATTCATGCACCCAAGTCCAAGATAGTCTATAAAATCTGCAGTATTGTTCCTATTCGTGTTTGCTACATTTCAAACTTCACTCAGCAAGAAGGAGATACAATATCACTGCACAATTTGGCATGGAGAATCTGAGCTTCATCTCTGCGTTAATCTTGTTTCTTCACCTCGTTGTTCAATCATCAGGGACGACAAGATTTCCAAAGGCGACAAGATTTCCGATGGCGAAGCCAGGATGCAATGGTACCTGTGGAGGCGTGACTATTCCCTACCCATTTGGAGTCGGCCGTGGTTGTGCTCTCAACGAATTTTACACCATAAACTGTACCGATGTAGTTGACGATTCCGCCAATGGTTTAAAGCCATACCTGGCACTTGTACCTCAATCTGTTTCTAAGTTTCCTGTGCAGGTGCTGGAAATATCCCTGAGTGATCAGACTGTAACCATTTATGTGACGGCCTTTCCAATTTGCTCAGATCAAGGGCAAGCATATGAGATTATAACAAGGTATCTCCCTGACGGGAGTCGTTTCTTCTTTTCTGCAGAACACAACAAGCTGACGTTGGTTGGCTGCTGCAACGTCCTCCTCACATCGGCTCCTGACAGTCCAGAGATCTTGGCGGGTTGCACATCCACGTGTACTAGCAAGCAGGTAACAGGTTGCTATGGCCTCAATTGTTGTCAAGCTAGTATACCTTACCACCTCGATTCCTTCGGTATAAACATAACAGCCTCGCAGAACTTCGCACCTCGAACCTGTGCTTATGCCTTGTTGGTGGATCAAAAGTGGAAATTTCAATCGTATTTTGGCCCTACAACTGACCGGTTTTTTCCCGTTGTGTTGTCTTGGGCCCTCCAGAATTATTCTGATATTGATGCCATCTCAGGTTGTAGTACCAAATCCAGATCACTTGATATAGGATCCAGCAACATTTCCGCATACTATTGTGAATGCAAAGCCTTGGGAGATGATACTTGGTCTTATCATATCAATCCGTACTTAGATGGTGCCTGCAGAAACGGTAAGTTTCTGACAGCATAGAGCTTCTGTGTGTGTATGTGTGTTTTTTTTTTTTCCTGCGGTCTTTTTTCAAATCCTAACAGATTATCCTTAGATCTTTGTCTGAAAGACTAAAACTCTTTGCGATTGCTTGTTTCTTGTTGAAGCCATTTCGCAAATCAGGGGTAGCAGAAGGCATAGGATAGCGGCTGTAGTTGGTAAGCCATTCATCTTTTTCCATTCTTTTCCTCATTCAGCAATTACTCAAGGGTGGTCTTTCATTCAAGTTTCAATTAGTGTTAAACAACAACATAATATTTAGAACTGTCAAGTTGCACATACTCCAAGGGTTGTCTTTTTCTATGACTGCCTATTGACAAACTGAAATAGTTCACGACAACCTAAACTCTAAAAGTGTGATTCTATTTGGCATCTTTGCAGGTTCCGGTGTAGGAGCTGGAATACCACTTCTCATAATCATTTATTTGATCGCACACAGAAGAGTGAGGAGGATACAGAACAATAAGCGCAAAGAAAAGGTCTTCAGAAGAATGTTACAACAGCAGTTATCTACTGAGGATATTCAAAACACAAAGCTTTTCACAGCTGACGAATTGAGCAAGGCTACTGACGGATTCAATCAGAATCGAATTCTTGGTCAAGGTGGTCAAGGTACAGTTTACAAAGGGATGTTGACTGATGGAAGGATCGTAGCAATCAAAAAGGGTAAAAATGTTGGGAAAAGCCGCTTTGAAGAATTCGTAAATGAGATGGTCATTCTGTCGCAAGTCAATCACAGAAATGTGGTAAAACTCCTAGGTTGTTGTTTGCAAACTGAAGTTCCCCTCCTAATTTATGAATTTGTGCCTAATGGAACCCTTCACAATCTAATTCATAGCCAGAATGATGATGAGTTCCCATTCACTTGGAACTTGAGATTAAGAATAGCCACAGAGATAGCAGGGGCATTGGCATACCTGCACTCAGATATTTCAGTTCCCATCTTACACAGAGATGTCAAGTCCAGCAATATACTTTTGGATGAAAAATACATAGGCAAAGTATCAGACTTTGGAACTTCGAGGTCTATTGAAGTTGATAAAACTCATTTAACTACACGTGTTAAAGGGACATTTGGATATTTGGATCCAGAATACTTTCGGACGAGCCAGTACACAGACAGAAGTGATGTATACAGCTTTGGAGTTGTTCTTGTTGAGCTACTTACAAGACGAAAGCCGATATCTTCCATACAAACGGAAGAAGATCATGTTGGGGTGAGTTTGGTAGAAAGTTTTTTAAAATCCATGAATCAGAACTCCCTTATGACAATTCTTGATCCTGAACTTGATGAGAGAAATGAAGAAGAGGTTATTCTTGTTGCTGAGCTTGCGCAACGATGCCTAAACTCGAACGGGAAAGCAAGGCCGACAATGAAGGAAACGCACAGGGAGTTGGAAAGAGCTAAACTGTTCAAAGTGGATTCTACAATTCATGCAAAGTTTCAAGATCCAAGTTGTTCTGGGAAAGAAGCTTTAGGGAAATCTGATACTACATGTTACACATGGACAATAGCAAGTGATACTGTGGAGTCGGCGTCAGATGCCTACCTTTTCATGTATAAAACAGTCTAATTCTACTTTGCAGCAATGCATTCAGGTTCAGCTAGGTGGCACTGGTTCCATGCATTCATGCATTTGAGTATTATTTTTACTTTATATTGACAACTTTTGTGAGCAGTGCTTTTTGTGGACAGTAATTGTGTGAGAAAATAGTTACATGCTTCTCTTTTCTTTCTTTTTTTTTTTTTTTACGGAAACGTTAGAACTTGTATTGAAATCAAAGCAAGCTATACATGCTTCTCCACTTGAGGGAATCATTTTCTCTTTTTTTTTTCCCCCTTTTTTGCAAGCAACTTGAGGGAGTCTTGTTATTGTGAAATGTCTAAGGGCAGATAAAACTTAATTTCCAAAGTGCTTTAATACCGATGTTATTGAGCATAATGTTATTACCTAAGAAATTGCACAAATAACTAGTGCAAACATAATCTCACATGAAGTTTCAAAAGTCTATATTTGAAAACTAAAATAAAATCTACAAATGCAACAAAAAAAAAAAGGAAAAAAAAAGGGCCACTTAGGAATATCTTATTGAGGCACCCTGGCAAAAGGCAGTTTGACCGCTGATTGTAGTTTGTTCCCCACTTAGGCGTATCTTAATGAGGCAGCCCTGCTTGCAAATGAGAAAACAATGGCTATTTTAAAACATGGTATCATTTTTTTTAACTAGAGCTTTTCAAACTTGTATCACTAATTCACCAAATTGCTCGTGTGAAAGCTAACAAATTAAGCTACCCAAATGAATTGACAAATCCTGACTTTAATTTGCATCTCCTGCATGCATCCAAACCATCCAAGACAGTCTACAAAATCCCAAATATTTCCTACCACTGCTTGCAACATTTTCAAACTTAGGCTACAGTACATACAATTTGGCATGGGTGATCTGATCAGGTTCATCTATCTGATAGTTGTAATCTTGTTTCTTCACCTCATTGTTGTTCAAGTCAATCATCATGGGAGAGACTATTCCCATTTCCCAATGGCGAAGCCAGGATGCAATGATACCTGTGGAGGTGTGACAATTCCCTGCCCATTTGGAATTGGCCCTCGTTCTGCTCTCAATCAAGCATACACCATAAACTTTTTTGGGGTAAGCTAAAATTTATTTCCAAGTAGTAAAATGTACGTCATAATCAGTACAATAAAAGTGATCCAAAAAGTTGAATCAGTCAAATAAACAAAGAGACATGAATAAATAAAAGGGCAAATTACATTTTACCCCCCTGTGGTTTAACATTTTTTACATAATTTCCCTATAGTTTTAAAAGTTATACATAACCCCCTCATGGTTTGGATTAAAATGTCAACGTGACGGAAATAGTCAGTCACTCGTAACGGAACTTCTAAAATGTCGAAATTACCTTTATAAATAAATGACACATTAACCCCGTATGATTTTTATATTTTACCATATAACCCCTTTATGGTATAATACTTTACCATAAAATCCCCTTATGGTTTTTAAAATATACACATAACCCCCCTTGGTTAATAAATAATTTTCAACTTTACATAAGGGTAATTTTGACATTTTAGGTGACTCCATTACGAATGATCATTCCCGTTACTTTGACACTTTAATTCAAACCATAAGGGGGTTATGTATAGCTTTTGAAACCATAGAGGGGTTATGTAAAAAAAAGGCTAAACTACAGGGGTGTAAAGTGGAATTTGCCCTAAATAAAATCCAGCCAACCAAATAGCAGTTTTGGCCGAAACTAGATTAAGATAAATTTCATTGGCGTTGCAGCCACGTATTTGGTTGAGACTTAGTGACCCTGTCAAGCACATCAGCCTACTTCTCACTGAGAAGCACACTTGTTTCTATAGACTTTTAGCAACGATGTAAGAGTTTGTGAATATCTTTGGATTTCTTTCATTTCAAACACAATAAACTGCAGCAGCTAGCAGCAGTTAAAGCACCAAATTCTAGAAACTTTTTGCCTTTTCATAGTCATGGTAGCCCATCTAATGATCTCCTGCCAACTACCTTCAAGCCATATGATAATGGATTTCCACAATAAATACCACCATAATTTGTAAATGAATGGACAAGAGAAAAATAGATAATCATGACTTTCAACATCAGCCCGATAAAACACACATGAAATTGATGCAATAACACCATAATTGAGAAGCTTAACGTGGGTTGATAGTCTCTCTTGAACAGCCAACCAAAGGACGAAGAAATGACAGGGAATAGCTTTTGGATACCAAACAAATGTTATGACAAGTGACAATTGACCTACACAATCTAAAGAAATTCCAAGTTTTTTGCACAGTGAATTCTTCTTCCTTCCCCTACACACCACACCACCTTGTCTTCTGTAGCACTTGAAGGCTCATAATGAGGCATGCTGTCAGCCAAATTTCTCATGTTTTCTGTAGGAAGTTGAGGCCAACTCCAAGTATCAGCATGTATAATTTTTGCAACTTTGTCAAATCTTAGGCTAGATTGTCGGAGAATCTGACTTCAAGCAAAAGATGGAGAGGCCCTGCTGGATGCCAATTTTCCCACCAAAGAAACGTATATTCACCAATTCCAATAACATGTTTAGAACCACCTCTTGTCTCAATTTGAGTAATTTTAACCAAGCCCAAGCCACCTTCTTCTTTAGGACAACAAACATTATCCCAAGCCACCTTTGCACCAGTTTTTTAAGCTCAGTACCTTTCCAAAGAAAGGCTGGAAAGATTTGGTCAATCTCTGCACTTACCTTTTTTGGAAGAATAAACAAACCTGCCCAATAAACTTGGATAGAGAACAACACAGACTGTATCAATTGAAGTCGCCCAGCATATAACATACACCATAAACTGTCGTACTCAATTTACTGATGTCCATGGAAATCCCATCAAGGGTTCAAAGCCGTATCTGGCTCTTCCACCGCAAACTCATGTTTCCCAATCTCTTGTGCAGGTGCTGGAAATATCCCTCATCCACCATACTGTAACCATAAATGATTCAGCCTCTAGAATTTTTTGGGATTATCAAGGGCAAGTTGATGTGATCTCGGGGAATCATCTCTCTGTGGGAAGTCCCTTCTCATTTCAGCAGAACACAAGAAGCTGATGTTTCTTGGCTGTGTTAGATATTTTTCAAAATTGGATCATTTGCACGACGGGCTGGTCTTGGGAGCTGGGACCCGACATAAAACCCATCTTTCTGGACCACGGGCAAGAACGGTTGCAGGTGCAACCGTTCCTAGCGGTTTTGTGCATTTTGCACACCGCGTAACTTCATTTTCACACGGCATAACTTTGTTTGCATAACGGGTAACTTTAGAACAAAATTTTGTGGGTCCCACACACATTGTTAAAAACGAGGTACAAGAAGTGATCTGAACCGTACATCTTTTTGGAGCCAAATCTTGGCCATTAACAGCTCAGGAGCAATCCATCTGATGACCGCTCCTGCCCCTCATCCCATCTTTCTCTAGTTCATGCAATGGTCAGTGACAAGTGTCAAACTTATATAATAATAAATATCTATTCAAGAAAAAAAATACAATTTTTGTATATAGCGATTAGTAGGGTCAAATCCACAGGGATTGGGGATAATTCGTTTCTTTTAAAGTCTAAAGTTCAGGGAATTTTTATATAATTGAAGATAATAAAACAACTCAGATAAATTAAATAAAGTAAAAACTAAACGACAATTTAGCAAAATTAAATCAATAATGAATAATCTCTAACCAAGAAATAATTTTGAAAATGGTTTACTCAATTGATCATGGATGCAATAATAATTTCATTCACTCACTGATAAATAAGTTATAACTGTCAAACACGCGATGACAATCAACTTCTCCTTACTGTATCGGTGATCAAGGTACGACCATTAATCACTTTCCTCATCAAGAAAAATAATCCTAGGTACGACTTTAGAGTTTAATTTCCCAATAGCCTTAAGAATTAGAGAAACTCTATTCTAATCAAATAACACGCTACGAGAGTTATTTTAAATTAGCCCATAGGTTCTCCTGACACAAACCCAATCATGCCAGTCACCACTAATTTAAAACAATTAAACAATTACGGATTTAACTGCTTTAATTTGTTTTAGGTTATTATATTAAATTAAATATCGGGCGCCCTTGATATTTAAATAAAATAATAACCATAAGAAATTAAATCAGAGAACATACGAATACCAGTAAATAAAAAAAAATAAATATAATCAATTCGATCTCATAATTTTAAATTAACCAAATCCTCCGTTGTTTCTTAACTAGAATGAAGCGTTTAGTTCATCTCCAAGGAAAAAGCCGCGTGCAAAATCATATGATTTATTGCCGAGACCATTCTTTCGAGAATGTGATGAAAATCCGATTGCAAAGAAAAAGAAAAGAATGGCTGTTTGTCTTTTAAGGAGAAGAGGAAAAACTCCGCCTTGACTAGTCTATCTCTGGCCCGAAGAAAGAAAAGATAAAGAGAACAATTGTCCTCACTGTAAACATCAAAATTTTAACATTTTATTTTTATTTCCATTTTGTGCACTTTAGTTAAATATTATTTATTTTATTTTATTTTATTTGTTTCATTTCCGTTTTTTGGAAAAATCATTTTAGAAAAATTAAGAAGAAAAGAATTAGAAAGAAAGAAAAAACAGAAAAAACAGAAAAGAAAAGAAGTGAAAATCAGCTTTTGGTATAAAAAAAAAAAAATCCCACGCGCGCGTCTTCTTCTTCAGCTGGTACAAGAACCAACCATACCAAGCACAGGATTTTGCAGCTCCATGCCCGCCTCTTTTTCCATTCATTTTCTTCGCTTTGTTTTCCTCCATTCGATCATGCTAGTACCAAAGCCACTTGGCTTTAATCCAAACATCAAGAAGGATCTAGAATTAAGCCATCTAATGGCTCTATATAAGGGCCAAACCCTTATCTCATATAAATAGCTTCAAGAGGACATGAGAGAGTAAGTAGGCGGCTGAGAACAAGAAGAAAAGAAAAAACAGCAGAAAACAGAGAGAAAAAAGGGAGAAAAAGCGAAAAAAGAAGAAAAATATT